GTGTGCGTGTGCGTGTGCGTGTGCGTGTGCGTGTGCGTGTGCGTGTGCGTGTGTGTGTGTGTGTGTGTGTGTGTGTGTGTGTGTGTGTGTGTCTCATCGCCCATCCCGCTAATAGCATTACTATAACTATCATCAAGAGCGTATAAAGAAGGCCTTCTTTATACGCTCTTGCTATCATATATTTGAATATCATCAACGACTCGCCACCGATGAACGCGACACCCGTGTGCATCGCCATCCAGCCAGCTTTTCGTTTTCCGTTGCAGACTGTTGACAACGAACCCCGACTACAGAAAATATGCAACATTTGCCGAATTCGGCAAGGATGAGTCGCAGATGCGGAGCAGCGAGGAGCTCGAGGTGTTCGGCACGAGCGTTCTCATGGCCATCGACAAGATGGTCGCGAGTTTTGACGACGTCGACGCGGGCGTCGCGCATCTGCAGTCCGTCGGCAAACTTCACGCGAAGCTGGATGGCTTTACACCGAACATGTTTGCGGTGAGCATTAGATTAGCGACGCCTTAGCTGAAGACAACGAGCAGGTTCCCGCGCATCGCTGCCATGATTCGGTTAGAAATTTCGTTAATTACGTTTCGGCTAATAATTCTATGAGAAAATGTGTAAAAGAGAGAATTAACGTGCTTAGTATTCGCAGTGGATATTTTTCTGCCAAGTTCACGCTGTGGTTAGGTATGCTGTTTTACAGACGGAATTTTTCCGCTTTAGTGAGGAAAAAAGAGGTGCGTTTATGTATGCGTGCTTGCGTATGTGAGAGCGCGATGTGTGCAATATGACTGGTAGAGACGGAAAGGCTTGGTACATCACTTGCTGCTCTTGCTGACTTTCATGCGGTCACGGGATTTCAATGCGATTTTGAAATTTAGATGTATGCATGCGGCGGTCAAGCGCAGCGCGTGTGCCAATCCTTTTTGGGTTCATAGAAATGTTACGTCTTTTTTTCTGTGTGCAATTCGCAGAACATGAAGGACGCTTTCATGTACGCAGCCTCTGTTGCCTTCGAGGATCGCTACAACGACCAGGTCGAGCAATGCTTTCAAACGTTGTTTGACTTCTGCATCAAATATATGCAAGAGGGTTTACAGAGCTGACCGGCTGTCAGCGAGACAGCAATACAACGCAGTTAAGCGGAGCGTCTGCCAAACTCAGCCGTCACCCTGTCGGAGAGCGCTCACCCGAAGCTGCGGCGGAGATGCGGAGCGACTGTTTTACCCGTGTGTGAGAGGGCCCCCGTAGCCTTAGCGCGGTCGAACAGGCATTGCCGTAGGCCCCACATCTGAGTAATGTTTCGATTGGGATGACGAACCCTGGGTTTACGTTTAACGTTACTTACGTTATGTTTCGCTCGGTGAGGAAATGATTACGCAAATGCGACTGCGTGTCTCCGTTACACGCAAGTTGTGATTTCGTCACGCTACATGGCACAGAGCTTTATTTTGCTCACAGCGCCACGACTGTTATCACAAGTACTTATTGCCTCGTGTGTCAAGCCATCTAAAAATTCATTGACAATGTTATTCAATATTTTTGTGAAGATGAGGATATCAGAACACTGCGAAAATATTCATATGGCGTGCATCCCACACGTGCTCGCACGCACACGCACAGGCACACGGACACGCACGCACACGCGCATGCTTGCGGAGAATTCTAGCCCTACTGCTTTCATTCTCCGGTGATTACGGCACTAGTCCTGTTCGCATTAGTCGTTAGCACGATGGGTGACGGAGTTCAGATGACGGAACGGAAGGCTCTTTTTTATATAAAGATACCGATATAAACACTAGGTTATGTCTCAAATCTTGACACGTCGATCTCAGTTGAGCGACGAATCTTTGCGATGAATGCTTCTATATCTGGCATCATGACGAATGGGAGCTGATCGAGACATAGATATTTCAGCCGCTGCGCGTCGGTCGTGTACGTGCAGTAGCGTGTAGTTACTGTACATGACTAAGACATCGCCGCTTTAATTAAGATGTCACATCTATGTGTTCATGAGGAACTCCATCAGAGCTAGTTGAATCCCTCGGCGAAGTGGTCTGTTGACTAAGGAGCAGCGTTGCTCGTCAGATACGTCTGTCGCTGAAATTGCGGCTAATTGAGGGGAATCAGCTTTGTAACAACGAGTCGCATTGACTCTCAACGGGGACTAAACTTGAAAATATGTGCGATGTCGAGCAAGGCGTAAGAAATAGATTTCATGTTTACGACATTATGCGCTGCAATGGCACACGAGTATAGCCATGTCGCGGAATAATGAAAATTGGTGATAGAGTGGTCACGATACAATACAACGCGTTAAAAATAATTTAGGTTAGTTATTATTATCCGAATTATAGTCTTAATGTATCGTGGACACATCTTAGATATGTTGTAACATTTTTTATATATATGGATGTTATATTGGAACAGTATTGAATATTCATTACACGTGTCAGTATATGCAATTGTATTCCCCAGGCACAAGTAAACGGGCCTCTTCTTATTTTTGTGAATGAAAATTACATTTGATAGCAGTTAAGATTACAGATGATAGTAAGATCCTATATTTGTCAGTAGCTAGGCTAGAGTATATATATATATATATATATATATATATATTTGTAAATTCAGGAGTTTAATGTCAGTACGATGACAGCAGAGATGACATTACAAGCAATTATGATCCATAGTTACATAAATGGATTGGGGGTTATTATACTAGGTAGCTTCCGTAAGTGTATAGAAATTGTGATTATTCAGTACACTTTCGAAATATAGTAGGTAGTTTCACACGAAGATTTAAGAATCGCATTTACACATATCGGTATGACAGATATTGTGACAATTGAGAACTAACTTTTAATGGTATCACGAAATATCGCCGTATGCAATATGTTCGCACTGACTGGATCGCTCTAGTAAGTATAGAAGGAGATATAGAAGAAATTGGAACATTGAGTCTATTGGGCGGTGATCAATCTGTGCGTGCTCTCTGTGTGGATTTCAGAGATAATGTAACGCGCACCATTTTATTGGCTTTGATGGCGCTGTATTAGCATTGGACAAACGCAGATGAAGCCAAACATGCGCAAGCTAGAACTGAATTTGCATCGAGAGTAGACGCATTACTCTACATTACTGTACGCGTATGCGCTAAATGCGACAATTACTGCTTCACATGGTCTGACATGTGTCATATATATATATATATATATATATACATATGCCATATATATTTATAAGTGTAAAACTTGTTGCTAGATTAATAACACGGGCTATGGCGATGTCGTTACGGAATGTGTGAAAGACGAAGTGTTGTAACTCTAAACGCACCGTTTGGTATAGTAATTTATATGTTTTGTACGGCAAGATATTTGATTTATTATGACGCTGTTAATGTTAACAGAACTTGTTTACACGCTCTTCGTACAAGTTTGTCATGTGACGAGTAAGAACTGCACTGAACGAACATCGTGCATAATGCACGAAGCTTTTCATTATTTATTCAATTTTATGGTGCAGAAAATATGGACTGCTTGATAGACCGTAGTCCACCCGTGTATCAACGGTGCAACAATCCAATGTTTGGTTTTTGAGAAAAACGTAGAGGCACAATCTAGAGAGATATGCATGTCTCTGTAGCAAACGCACCAGTACAGAAGCAAACACGACACGTACAGTTGTGTGAGCTACGCTAGCAATAAAGTGTAATGTCAAAGCATATGTTGTTCTTGGACCTGTGCTTGTCTTGTTGATTCGTCGGCTTGCCACCGTGGGTCAATTGCATCATCGGTATTTTCACTGTAAGGTTGCTAACAATGACTAATAATAACGAGAAAAACGAGAGTAGCGCAACAGTCTAAAAAATAGAGTGTAAAAATTTGGCGTTACTTTGGCAGATGGGGTCGTTGTCGTATCAGGTACTACGGATATGTACCCGAAGTAGTTTTTGGTTGTTTAGTATTATGTTTATATTTTTATATGAGGTATATATGTTTAGAGTTAGGGTTAGGGTTAGGGTTAAGGTTAGGGTTAGGGTTAGGGTTAGGGTTAGGGTTAGGGTACACTTCTGTAGTACAAGTCTGGTACACTTTGTGTATACATATATGTACCTCGGGTACATATCTGTAATACCTGATACGACAACGACCCATTGAGCGTTACTTTGGCGTGTTTCTATTAATTTACACAAAATCTATTGTGGCTCCTGTGGAATTGCTACGTGTGCTTTACATTCGCGAAATAAAAAAAAGGCGCTAGTTCATTGGCGAGCATATATGTGGTGTTCAGAATATACGCAATAACGAGCTGATTTTAGATGGTACGCGTACGGGACGCTTATATAAGTGCATGTGCAACACAAATCTTACGTATAACTGTGCATGAATCATGCCCCACAAACGCACGCACTAGTAGAATCGCACCAGGAACGAAGCAGTACAAATTCACAAATTATAGCGTGTAGGGGCCTATACTTATGTAGAGCGTATAATGCCTATATATAATATTGGAGGCATGTGGCAATAGAAACACTGACACCAATGGGTATTACACTGGCTGATGTCTTAAACGTGTGATATGCCACATAATATTATTACATCAGGGGGTTAGTACTGCTGATAGGGTCTATGTCCCCCAGGGTACTGCCGGAACGTACCCTGGGTACCGTCCAGTATACCGGAATGTACCCTGGTACTAAATACTACTATCTAATATGCCGGACCGTACCTCGCCTACTCCACTAACGAGTCTAGGGAGTCGCCTAACCCTAACCCCAACCCTAACCCTAACTCTAACCCTAACCCTAACCCTAACACTAACCCTAACCATATCAGCTAGATAGTTACCAGGGTACGTTCCGGTATACCGGACCGTACCCAGGGTACGTTCCGGCAGTACCCTGGGGGACATAGACCCTATCAGCGTTAGGCATGACAAATTTGTTCGTTGTAATGTATAACCCCCTGATTACAGTGAAGATCGCATATACGCAACATTACTATGCCGCGGATGCGGCTGTGGTCTAACTGTAATTATCTCCGCCAATGAGGTTAAGTTTTCGCCCCCGTTAGTTTGTTGGTTGGTTTGTTGGTTTGTTGGTTTGTTTCTCTGTCAACAGGATATCTCAAAAAGTTACGGACGGGTTTTGATGACATTTTTTGGACGAGTTGGTCTTGGGCCAAGAGCCAATCGACTAGATTTTGGTGGTGATCCGGATCCAGATCTAGACCCAGGAATTTTTTGAAGGATTTCTCATCATTGATGGTAGGGTAGCGGTTTGATCTCTAACCGCTTCGCTTCGTTTCGCTTTCGCTTTCTCTCTCTGTAGGGGTTTATGATGTGTCACCGCCGCGTTAAACCCAACTACAAATTAGATGGATAGCTATGGGGGGATTGTTAAGCTGTTGCGGAGGTTTGCTATTTCCGATTGCTCGATCTTGTTCTATTTTGAACCCAAATTAAGTTCCGCGTCTTCATATTTATAGATATATACGCCTGATATTCATCGTATCTCTTGATCGTATTGACAAATATCACACACACACACACACACACACACACACACACACACACACACACACACACACACACACACACACACACACACACACACACACACACACACACACAC